ACAATATTAAAAATCACATGGGCGCGAACACGTTTTCGTCCTGAACAGATTCAGTTAATGGTATGAAACTATTGAGCAAAGTTGTTTTAGTACAAACTACGTTATTTATGGAAATTTCGCCATGAACAGTTTCGATCAGCTGATGTCATTTAACGAAAATAAATAGTCACATCACATCTCTATTGAGTATCATAATACAACCAAATTACGTAACTTGAAAAAATTGTGAAATTCAGGCATGTTATTGTAAATGATAAAGTACTTAATGCCATATTCTTATTACTATGTTATAATTTACTAAATTTATTATTATTTTATTCATGTAATATGCGTGTGAACATTTAATGAAAAATAAATATTATCGATTACTTTGCCAAAATACACTAGTTCATAATAAAACTATTATTTAAAACTTAGTACATAATAACGTAATATGGTTTCGTTAACTTCATATCTTCAAACATACAAAATACACAAATTTCCATTTAATATCCATTAATAAAACTAATGTCCTCTAAAAAACACATATTTAAAGTTATCTCTGTTTCTTTTTACCATACGCATTCATCTATTGTATTTTAATGAATGAAATTTGTCTCTTTCTATCCGTCGGTACTGTTCTAACGCATGGCGGCGTCGCGTCGGTATGTTTCTTCTAACGCATGACGCAATATGACGCAATTATCCGACTAATACTTCGCACCCTTACAATGAAAGCGACCCAAATCAAAAAATTAAAAAATGAGTTTATACCGTAAAACCATCTTAAAAAAATATTTTGTTACATTAGTCACACTGTGGTGAAGATGAAATTGTGCAATTAAAGCTCGAATAGCACTGATTCATAAAGGTCCCTTTCATTTTGTTCTTTCAGTTTAAAAATTCTACTCCCGCGTCGAAATATTAACGCCGCATTTATTGTTGAATCTGCATTTGCAAAGACAACACGCTGCCACTGACGGATTAGCATTTGAGCCATTTTCGTTCCGAAAATCATATTCAAAAATCACTAGTAGCAGTAGAGCTCCTTGTGAGTTCGTCCAGGGTAGTACTGCCACATTACCGTGTTACAGTTTTGAAGGGTAAGGGTGCTGGTGAAATTACAGGCACATGGGACTTGTCAACTATGTCTCAGAGAGATGGACGCCGTAGCAGTAGCCTTCGAGCGGCAGTGCTACTGTTATGGACAGGCGTGACGCTTTCCACCGGGTACACGACTTGTTCGACCCGTCGCTTAATATTTAAAAAAAAAAAATTGTTTAGTAACTTACTTTTTAAAGGGACTTACTTTTTTGTTTCGTGGACTTTCTTCTTTTTTAATTGTAAAACAGGGACCACAAAACAATATCAAGGGTTATGACATCTTGCTTAGCTGATGAACATTAAAAAGACTTAATTCTTAATACGTTAAATGATAACAAAAAATCGTTAAAAAAAAGACCTATTGGCGACTAGTTTTTGTAAATTATGTTTTTAAATTGTTGAACATTAAAATGATCAGAAACAATTTTCAGTTGTAAAGTTCCATTTTTCCTCATTATTTTCAAAGACTAATAAGGCCATCACCTTTAGTACTTCAAGAGTAGGTAATAAATAAAATAATATGAAAATATGAAAAAACTTGAAATCTTATTTTCTTTTTTATTCCCAAAAAGTTGAAATTTTGTATTGGGACACTTTCATCGTAAAGGTGCAACCTGAAGGTCGGTAAACGTCAAGAAATTAGTTTTGATCGTTGACCACGAATTAATTATTGTAATTTTAATTTAATTTAATTTTTTTTTTATGATTGATTTAGTGTCTGTTTAAGTATATCTAAATGTTTTAAAATGAATGTTGAGCACAGTAATAATTGGGCACAGATATGCCTGTTGTATTAATTTTTAAGTGTTTTTATTTTCCTCACTTTCTGTATCTGATGTCTGTACATTGTGCCATAAATAAAAAATAAAAAATAAAAATAAAATAAATTTTCATCACTTGCTTGGAAATGAAAATATCGTGAGAAAACTTGGATTTCGGAGATAATTGCCGAAATCTTCAAAGATGCGAGAATGTCAAGTTTCCAACCAGTACTTACTATGCAAGTGCAGTGGACTAAACCTTGTGCAAAAAATAGTACTTTACTAACTTACATACGTCTATTGCTGAGCGCACGTTTCTAACAACAGGCTTACGCTTAATTTGACTTATCTACACACGACAACTTTCTGGGTATGGGTTTATTACATGGTGAAATTGAAATAATTAATATCCGTTGAACCTATTAAGGTTCTTACTTCCTAATAATATCTACTCATCTAAAGAAATATTTTAGAATAGTTTAAATTAGCAATAGTGTAAAACCATAAAAAATCTTACCTAAATAAACAAAGTATCAAGATTAGTCGCCTTGCGTACGCGATACGTAATCGTAGCGAAGTCGCAAGCCTTTGGCGGCAACTTTGGCGGCAAAAATATCACCTTTGATTTTCGCCGCCAGCATTTGATTTTATACATGGTGATGTGGATTAGTGGTTAATGTTAGACTCGTTTCGGAGGTCGTGGATTCGATTCTCATAGTTGACTGGCTCTATGGGGTAGTTGTTAGAGTGTTAGGTTTTCTTTGCGGATGTCGTAGATTTGATTCCCATAGTCGACTGCCTCCATAGTCTAGTGGTTAGAGCGTTAGGCTTTCTTTTCGGAAGTCGTGGATTTGATTCCCATAGTCGACTGCCTCTATGGTGTAGTGGTTAGAGTGTTAGGCTTTCATTTCGGCGGTTGTGGATTTGATTCCCATAGTCGACTGCCTCCATGGTGTAGTGGTTAGTGTTAGGCTTTGTTTTCGGAGGTCGTGGATTTGATTCCTATAGTCGACTGCCTCCATGGTGTAGTGGTTAGAGTGTTAGGCTTTCGTTTCGGAGGTCGTGGATTTGATTCCTATAGTCGACTGCCTCCATGGTGTAGTGGTTAGTGTGTTAGGCTTTCGTTTCGGACGTCGTGAG